TGTTAAAATACTCAAAGAATTCATATTAGTACAGTTCCAGACAGATAAAAGCTATTGTAGTAAAACAAACAGAACGTCAAAAGAAGGTCTGCTATGGAATTTTCCTCAAGAACTAAGAGGAGGTGTTCCATGCACTTAAACTAGAAAATTTAATGGCCAGGAACACTGCAGCCAGTTTGATTTAGATTGCTATTTCTCCAGTGGGCCCTGAAAGGGACTGAAGACATCTGGACTCACGCTGCTCCTTCAAAAACCTCACGGTCTTTAGACCTTCCCAGAAAAGCTCACTTGAATTTTAAGTAAGTGCCTGCACAAAGGCACCGAGCCGACTCGTCTTCACGGCTCTCGCTTTGCTTCGACTGAATGTGAAGAACCAAGAACAGCACCTAAAAAGCCGGGAGTGTTTACAGACTTCTGATAAAGTTTTAAGGTCTTACCTTCTCTTTTCCAATGATGTCTAGAAGCCTTCCTGGAGTGGCACACAGGATATTGCAGCCTTGCATTATCTGACAGATTGAGTGGCCTGTTTGCGTACCTCCGTAGATCACAACAGGCCTTATACAAGTTCTATTAGAGAGGGGGGAGGGGGAAAAACAACGGATTAATTATACAGCATGCAAACAGCATTGCTTCACAAAAATACGTACAAAACCATCAGATCTCAGATCTACCTAAACCAGCTTTCTTAGAAGGGTTCAGTTCCGTCACCACACAGCACAGCTCATAACCAAAAGCAGGAGCCAAGACCAGAAACACACCCACCGTCAGCCAGAAGTTCCCATTCATCCCACGTGACAGAGGCTGCACAGGTGGCTCACCTGGAAAGGACACTTCATTTCACCTGCGTTTTCGCCTCTCCCTGCAACTGCGAGTTACTGGCAGGAAGAGCCAAAACTCTGCTAGACACTGGGCCCCCTTTTATACAGCTTAAATTTAAGCCACTTCATTTCAGAAATTTCATTTTTTTCATCAGTAAGATGATGTGACACAAGTTTAGGACTTCTCTCCTCTGCAAGCTGCAGTAAGCCTTTCCTCTCCACTGCTCACCCCCTCTCCCCCATCAGGAAGATTAGGACTTTAAATCCCTAGCCACAAAGTAAGAAACCTGCCAGCCAGAATTACCATCTAAATTCCAGTGTTCAAAGGCATTTGACTGGCACAGAAAATATTTTGAAAATATTACTGAAAGAAATAAAGCACTGCCGATTCAGACAGAGTCACAATCACTATCAGGCAACAGTGCAAAGCTTACCCATACACAAATTTCCTTGCTTCTAGGAAGATCTGATTTATCAGTTCTCTAGTTGGTGCCACAATAATACATTCCGGCTCTTGCTGCGCTCTAAAGCTGGTGGCAGTTACGCCATCTCTCATCATGTGGGCCACGATCGGCAGAAGAAAAGCTGCCTAGAAAAAAGCATCAATATTTATGGTCTTTAGTCTTGAAGCTTTAATCAGTCACATGAAAAGCTGCATGAACGACACAGCACTGTCGACTTCAAAGAAAACAGACTGCAAAAGGACAGCCCTGAATGCACTAACATTCAAGCTCATTTCTCCTGGTTTAAAAAGCATGAAAATCTCTCTCTAGGCCGTAAGAGTCTAATAAGGCAGGAACACAGCCATGCACGGGCTAATTTCCGGGCTCTTTGGGCTGATATACAGTGATAGTTCACAGAACCGCTAAGGTTGGAGAAGACCTCCAAGATCATCAAGTCCAACCGTCAACCCAACACCACCAGGCCCACTAAACCATGTCCCTAAGCACCACATCTACACCACGTCTTTTAGACGCCTCCAGGGATGGAGGCTCAACCACTGCCCTGGGCAGCCTGCTCCAACGCTTGATGACCTTTTCAGTGGAGAAGTTTCTCCTCATACCTAATCTAAACCTCCCCTGGTACAGCTTGAGGCCACTTCCTCTTGCCCTGTCCCTTGTTACTTGGGAGAAGGGACCGACACCCACCTCACTACACCCTCCTTTCAGGCAGTGGTAGAGAGCATTAAGGTCACCCCTCCGCCTCCTCTTCTCAAGACTGAACAATCCCAGTTCCCTCAGCCACTCCCCACACGACTTGTGCTCCAGACCCTTCACCAGCTCTGTTGCCCTTCTCTGGACACGCTCCAGCAACTCCATGTCCTTCTTGTAGTGAGGGGCCCAAAACTGAACACGGTACTCAAGGTTTGGCCTCACCAGTGCTGAGTTCAGGGGCACAATCACTTCCCTGGTCCTGCTGGACATGCTGTTTCTGATACAGGCCAGGATGCCATTGGCCTTCTTGGCCACCTGGCCACACTGCTGGCTCATCTTCAGCTGCTGTCAACCAACACCCCCAGGTCCTTTTCTGCCAGGCAGCTCTCCAGCCACTCCTCCCCAAGCCTGTAGTGTTGCCTGGGGTTGTCGTGACCCAAGTGCAGGATCCAGCACGTGACCTTGTTGAACCTCTTACAGTTGGCCTCGGCCCATTGATCCAACCTGTCCAGGTCCGTCCGCAGAGCCTTCCTACCCTCGAGCAGATCAACACTCCCACACCACTTGGCGTCGTCAATTACGTACCCCAGGATCAAAAACTCTCCTTAACATTTACTTACAAGCCTTACATCACTAGACTTGTAAGGTAACCACGTGTCACCATTCTCCAGACTACTACAAGAGCAGGTCAGTTTGCACCAGCACCCTTACTTCCATGTAAGACTAGTTACCCCCAAAACAGAATCTGTACAGCAGTCCCATGAGCATTCAGAATATTTACAGCACAAGCTTTGGACATTTGCCCCTCTGCAAACAGAAGATGTTTTTCAAAACAGGGAACTGATAAGCTACGTAACAACAGAGATGGAATTCCACACTATCCTGACTGGCAAAAGGCTGCACTCACTATCCAAATACTCTCATGCGCAGCCCTCGGTGCTTAGAGCTGGGTACACGACACAGTTCAACAAGCCGAGACAACTGTCAGTGTCAGCTCGCAGCACTGCGCCACGAGTAACACAATCATCTCAAATCAAGTCTGCTGCTGATCAGACTTGATCAAACCAGGGATGACAAACCAGCTCGACACACTGCTACAATCTGGCATAAATTTAAGAAACAAAAACCACTAAACCACAAAAACCCCACAGATACCATCTAACACCAAAAATATCACCCCCAACACAAACCCCCACACAACAGAGGAAGAAACCCCAATTTTCAACAGCTGAGGTTTTTTCCTCATCAGCACTTCCTGTGACTGCCTGTCCTTACAGGCTGTGTTTGTAGAGACCTGAAGACTGGCCTGCTCTATCAAGACACCAGTTCACTGAAGTTAAAAAGAATTTCAGCCCCAAAATGCAACAGCTCATCCCTTATTCATACCTGTGCTCATCACAATGCCAGCCACTGCAGCGCAAGGCAAATCATTAGACATCAGGCTGCGAAGCACAGTGTAACTGTCCTTTGGAAGACTGAGGCACCTACCTACAAGTTCCAGGTCACACACTTGCAGTAGTACGGACACGACGCAAAATGCTTACCGTTTTGCCCGACCCTGTCTGGGCACATGCCATTAAATCCCGTCCTGCCAGGACAATGGGAATGCTGTACTTCTGCACTGGAGTAAGCTTAGAGTATCCAGCCTTAGTAATGTTAATGTTTAAAGTCTGACAGAGGTCAGCCTCTTCAAAAGCCTGGAAGAGACAAACATTATTATTAACAGCACACAACCACAGAAGTTAAGAGTTTAAAACCTGAGGTGTTTACCACAGCATGCAGACATCCAAACACTAACAAGTCAATCATACCTTCTGAGGGGGTCTCGACGGTCATCTACACTGCCAAGGTTCCTAGAGGCAAAAGCCCCAGAGGTTTCTTCAACCTGCTCACACCATTCAAGTAAAGTTGCTTGCAGGGCAGTGAAGGCCCTCAGCTAGCCTCACTGGCTCTGAGAGAAAGCTGCTCACAAGCCATACATCTGGATTCAAGCAGGTAAACTCACATTCATGGCAGGCTACGAAAGCAAACTAAAGCTCTTCATTTCCATTTCACAGAGGACATACATACCCAGTCTCTGTGCCAAAACTGGTAATGGCAGCTAAAGCAGCATCCCTATCCAGGGCCAAAAAGCGTCATCCACGACAAAATCAGTTTCACTTCAGCAAAAAAACCTTTCAGAAGATGGATGGGGGGAAAGAAAAAAAACAGAACAACCCTCTGCATCTTTTCTTCCCAACACAGGTGCTTCTGCCCCCTCTGCCCCCTTCCTCATTCCTCTCCCTAAAAAGAGATGTCATTACAAAAAAAAAAAACAAAACACCACAACAACAACAAAAATCCAAACTAGCCACCTGGTACAGAGTAGAAGCAAAGTTATATATTACTTTTAAACAATTCACTGCAGCTACAGAAAACAGGGCTACAGGTTACTTCAAAAACACCTCTCTGTCCAAGAGAAAACTAACCCAACAGGTGTTAATTTCTATTCTTAAAGACCACCCAGTAAGAGACTTGAACAAGACAACTCTACAAGCCTTCCCAGAAACTGCTTCCAAAGACTCTTTTCTGTTAAGATCTGAACTGGTGTTTTTCTGCAATTTAAGGATGATACTTCCTCGCCACCCCTTATTACTTTCTCTGGGCCATTTCTGTAGTTTGCCAATGTCATTTTGAATTCAAATTTGTATCTTTCAATGGCCTGCCAGACTCAAAATCTCTGTCACTATTTTCATTAACAGCGAGTATCAGACTCGGTACACATCCTTGCAGAGTCACACTCAACATACAGCCCGAGATCAATGAGATCACTGACCTGTAATGGCGCTGGAGGGTCAAGTCCTGACACCTGGACGATGTTTTCATCATACTTGTCAAAATTAATTCCTGTCCGATAATGTGCAAAGATGGCTTGTTCATCGTCAGGTGGAGGAGGGGGCACGTAAGTCACCTTTGGACCTTAAGAACACAACCACTCCAGTTCATGAACAACAGAAAGAAAACAAACTAAAACTATTTTAAGCATGGAACTATTCAAGTCAAGTTCAGTGGGATGTCATTTTCACTTCTCTCCACTTTCCAGGAAGGAATAAATTTATTTATTTCCTAAATAAATTCCATCTGAACTTAAGTTTTATATGACTAGACCTGAAACTCACTTACAAACAGTCAGACGTTTGCAAAGCATTCTTGTCCCACAGTTGCTCAAGGACCTTACTTTCAGGAGCTACTCACAAAAATTAAATTAGGCTCTATTTTACCACCGTGCCCAAACCAATTCTACCTCAAAAACGCATCACACTAAGTTACTCTGTTCAATAACAATGCATTTGTTAACGCACTACGATAAAATTCATCTGTTCACGGCAGCACATTTGTAGCTCTCCATTCCTAAAGCCATTTTTCAAGCTAATAAACCCAGAAGCATAAAATTACTCATTTGACACTCACTAGAAGGTCAGCAGTAGAAGCCATTTTACAAGGGCCTCACATGAGGAAGGATCAGGAACCAAAACTATTCATACGGAAATCAGGAGGTCACTATTTGTCTTCTTGCATCTCAGGAGTCAGAGAAAGGCAAAATAAGGCCAAAGTCATTTCCAAAAACACTGCAGGTGAGTACACATGACACTTTCTCTTTTCTACACTGACTAATTCTTTTACCAGTATCACACAAAATGTCCTTACATTGAGAATATCAGTCATCCACCACCCATTACACTAGTTTAGTGATACTTCTAATTTGAATTATGGGACTTTTGTGAGTGGTAAGATCACTGCGCTCTCGGTAGCACAACACATGGGTTACAAGTTACAACAGCATCAGTGGCAAAGGATGGAAATGACCATGAGGGGAAAATCCTCTGTACCAAGCCAAAAAAAAAAAAAAAAATCCATGAGAATAAAGTCTTTAAGAAGAGCTGGCCTCTCACCTTCCCTGTGAGCCTGGACAAACCTAGAACAATACCTCCCTTTATCAGGGGGACGGAACAAGTCCAGGCTCTACCTCAAAACTGAGCAAGTTCTCAGAGACTTGCTTTGAATTTTTCACTTCACATCTCTGGTTCACTGTGCATTCACTGACCCAGCAGCACTAGGACCAAGAAAAAAATTACAGAGACAATAGCTTTGAAAATCCAATTGCTAAAATGGATCCAAGTTACAAACATGTCTCCTGTGGGCATGCAAGCAA